TTGAGAAAAGACAGACATTTAGAATTTTAAAAAAACTTGATACCACATCTGATGTTTTCAGAGGTGTTTGTTTGCTCTGTTCACATTTTGTATTGTTTACATGAACTTTTGAACTTGATAAATGTTCGATATCTACATATTTTATATGACTGGCATAATCAAGAAACAAAGAACATTTTGAACTTGCGCTGTAACCAACCTTCCTCGGTTATAAAATAAAAGTTATATTTGAATCAAGAATACCCTTAATAGAAAAGTAAAATAAATAAGTCATAGCTACCTGAGCCTGCTCAGCTGAAGAAATGTTTTTGTTCATGAGCATAGGAAAAGTTCTACTGAAGAAGAATCCAATTTCTTTAAAATGTAGTCATATACCTCTGTATGCCAGACATTGAAACCCACTCAGTACAAAAAAAACAAAAAAAACAGAGGAACTGACTTTTACTCAAGAAATTCAGTACCTAAGAATACAGACTACAGATAGTTCTCATGTTTAAGCAATAAGGCATATAAGACAATCATGAACGAGTAGGAAATATGTTGGCACTCAAAAAAGCTGGAAATTTTTTATGGGGGGGTGATTAATCTGTTTAATGAAGAATTAATGAAATGTATGGAGATGACGAACAGTATTCAAGACCAAAGGTCCATTAAACAATACAAATTTTGGAGCAGAGAAACACGTACCTCTAAATCATCAGAGGTGGGATCAAATGCCATGGAGGAGTGAGTATCCCCTGCCGACCGGTCACACCCGCTGTGTGCTCCTTGTCACGATCGGATATTAACCGAAAAATCCGTCGACAGCTCAGTGTGTAAATAATTGCCTAACAATTAGTTTGAAAAACGTCAGTCAGTATTTGACTTGATGATAAATTGGATTTGCTGACAAGGCCCTTGTATCGACCATAGAACTTACGAAATGACGACTTTAAAGGAGACTGCTGATATTTTTGTTTTATGAACTTGTTTGCCAATAACTTACATGTACCTCTTTTAGAAATTGGTCATACTTGTAGAGCATGCTCTTGCGTATCGAATCAACTGAGAGATATAAACCCCGTATGCAGGTGATGAAGGTATATTGCTGGATGAGGAAGGAAAGTTGACGATTGAAAAGTTAAAGTCATCACGTTTATCTTAAAGCTTGATTGTTCGAATACCATTAACGTCTTTTTCTAGTAAAATATCCAAATATGAAACAGATGTGTCAGACTCTGCGGTATCCTTTATTTCAAGCTCACTGGGATATAGAATGGAGATAACCATTGTTAATTGACAATCCGTCTTCGATATATCTAATTGTCGAGTTGAAAGCCACAGCAAATGTTTTCTTCTTTTCATGTACAAGATTTTGAACAAATTCTGCTTCATATGAATACAAAAATAGGTCTCATAAATTAATAAATTCTGCCTGTTTTAACACTTTTGTTTCCGCGCGATATCTCGCGAATGCTTTGAGCTTTTGCAATGAAATTTTACATAACAACTCCCTGTGGCATAAGGAAGACCTCTATTGATTTTGAGGTCAAAAGGTCAAAGTTCAAGGTCTTAAATTCGTAAATTCCGTCTGTGTGTAACACTTTCGTTTCCGGGCGATATCTCAAGAAGCTTTTGCAATGAAATTTTATACCTAACTCCCTAGGGCCTCTCTTACCCCTCTCAAAGTGTCCCGCCCCCTTTTTTTATTTATTTATTGTATTAAAAGTCGCTTGGCACTATTTTTAGCACAGGGGCATGTCGAGAGTTATTACGTATAATACAAGTGGTCGGCGGACTTTATATTCGAATTACATCTATTAGAACTGTTTAGTAAAGGCTAAATTATACAACATTTATTGTGTAAAATTTTGACAATATCAAACGTGAAAATAAACATTATATGTGACCTAATATTTGCCTTTAATTTGCTGAAAATTTAAGTGCCTCCGTGGTCTAGTGGTATGTTGCTCGCTTAGCAAGTGAGAGGCCCGGGTTCAATCTCCGGACGATTCTCTTTTTTATTTTAAATATTTTTTTTATTGACTAAATGATACTATTCAACATGTGCAATGAAAAAGTTATGATGTCTGGCGTGTACAAACTCATAAAATCATTATTACGGTGTGATAAATATTCTGTATATAATATATTAAAAAGAATCTTCTATACACATATTAAAGAATAAGCAATCAAATCTTTATATCCATATTGACTTTTTTTTTAAATTTGCTTCAATATACATGTATACAATTAATAATTCTACAAATACAGGGGGGCAGTGTGACACCCCCCCCCCCCGAACTGCGCATGCTGTTCTTTTTTCCCTAAACGGGGAACACAAATTCTCTGAATTAGCTTGTATGTTGTTAATTTTGGTAAAATTTTACGATTTCAAATTTTCTAAATGTTCCTTGGAATTTTTTAGTATCCACATCTGATTTACACCACTTCTCGAATATTTTGTTGCACAGTACTCATGTTGTTTCTCCTTCACTGCTGTTGATATTTTTAAAAGATACTTTAAACTCAAAAAAGAATGGAAAAAGTCTAGACTACCTTAGAGAGTGAGTGTAATTATACAGTAGATAACTGTTCTACGAGTGAATTTTGTTTTAAGATTGATGAATTATTTTCAGTTTAGATCAGAATTTACTAACTGAAGATCCAGTGATGAAGAGAAATATGTCTCAACGTAATATCAACTTTTACTTTTCTTTTTTCTTGGAAATATAAACCAGAACCTAATTAATGTTAATGGAACTATATTTCTTATATCCGAAAGCATGGTTCTTGTACCTCAGGACTATATTTGATAGATAACAAAGGAGTAAGTAAAGTAAAACTAAACGTGGCCCACGTTACTGATTGGTCTGCAAACTTCACTGTAGAAATCTAAATATACAAACTAGATGCATCTACCCTACAAACACAGTGTTCTCTCTCTCTCTCTCTCTCTCTCTCTCTCTCTCTCTCTCTCTCTCTCTCTCTCTCTCTCTCTCTCTCTGTGTGTGTGTGTGTGTGTGTGTGTGTGTGTGTGTGTAGGTGTGTGTGTGTGTGTATCAAATATAGCGAGGGAAATGAAGGACCCTGTATAATCTTTTTACACGAGTCCCAAATCACACTGTTTTCCTTAAAATGGACTTGAAACAACATATATCTAAGATTTTAAGCATGGTTAAAATACATTCGATTAAGCAAAGTAAATGCTGATCAGTTATAATTTCCATGGATCCTACCAGTACTACTGATAGACCAATAGAACTGTATATGTTTTTATTCGTATTCGGCCATATTTATATACTCAGTACATTATGGAGAGACTGAAGTTTTGTCCCTTTACATTTTTTTTAATCTTTTCTATGGATGGTAATATTCTATCATGTTGAAATAGTGTGCTCAAACATCGTGGTTACTTTAACTATATTGTCGAGAAAGCTTATTTATTCAGCAAAATTCAGCCTGTACATGCGAATTGCCGTCCAAAATACCTATACGACTTTTAAAAGAATCTTAATTCACAGGATTTCCACTTGTGCATCCATAGCTCTGCATCTTAATATTACCTCTTCTACTTATCTCTCAATGTTTATCATTTTAATTTATTTTATAGTATGTTTGACAAAATACTTATAAGAAAAAGAAACAGGCCTATTTTTCATATTTTTGTATGTCAATTACTAATTTACAATGTACATGTATGTCTTCCAGATGTCATTTGGTTCTAAGCATTTGTAAGAGATGTTACAAGACGGTATTACTCTCTATTGTGTCTCTACATATAGATTTGATTCTTTATGTCAATCATACTGTACATAATTGAAAATTTCGAAAACAAATAAAATATGCATAAGAGGACATGTATCTTTTCAAATATCTTTGGGAAAACAGAGTTTAAAACAAAGCAAGTTTTTTTTGGATACATACAAAATAGGGATGAAATAAAGTACTTAATGTTTCAATAAAATTTTATCGAAAGAGAACTAAGCTTAAAAACATCATTCAGGTTTTTTAAGTACAATAAAAACTAAAGTCATTCATGTTGTAAATTAACTGTACATAGCAATACCAAAAGGTGTAGCGAACCGCACTATAGAACAGGAGATTATTCAATATTACCTTAATAAAAACGTAAGACATTTATTTTTTTTTTAATTAGATCTTTGAAGCCCAATGAATTTCTGATTCATTTTTTGTTTGTTTGTAATCTTTGCATTTGTTACAAGGTTATACTGAGAAAATGACTGGTTATATGAAAAATATATCTGCTTCTCACTTCCGGAATTAAACGTAGAGCTTTTCCGTAATCATAAAATACTTATTTAAAACTACTTTCCTATTGATCACATTCGAGTGAATGATTTGTATCTTTTTCAAAGCATAAGGATATGAATTTTCACATGAGCACAAGACCGTGTGTATAAATACAGTTGTATTCAGTGCCTTCCAAAACAAAATAGAATGAAAATACATGTATATTTTAATCTGTTACTGAACAATATCAAATAGTTAAATATCAGCGTCTGCTTAACTTTTTTCTTTAAAATTTTTATAAGCGAATATTTATAAATCTGATTTTGACTCAAAACAGTTCTAGATACCATCATTTAATTCCGGTAACTAGAATTTCTGCAATATTTCTTAACACCTATCATATGATATAACTACATGTAATAAATGAAATTTCTACTTGATGATACAATTCAGACTTGGATCGAAACTAAACGATGTTTTGCTTTACACATATGCTATCCATTTTTGGACAAAATTCATAAAACATACGTAAAATATTTGCCATCCAGGCCAGCGTTGTTATACTCACCAACCAATAAATATTTAAATTATTTTTCTCCCTTACCTTGCACACCTTTCTTTTGTTTTGAACATATTTTATTGAATGAGTCAAAAGGATTAGAAACAAGTTCTAACAACTTACTGGTTCCTCTCCTTAAATTTTGTTTGCAAATTATTCCTAGGATAGCCAGGAAAATACAATGAATAAATGTATAAATACTAACAGCTGCAAGGAAAAAAAATGTTTTTATTGAAAATAAGAAATTTAAGTAAGTTTGCGCTATACGCTTAATTCTTACAATCAACGTAATGATTCGTTGTACGTTCAGAATGATTAGTTCCCGGCCTCATAGACTATGAATGCATGTACATGTATCTTCTAAGACAATGTTCTATTGCAAATATCAATAGTTGGGGTAAGTAAAATATTTTAGCAAATGCAATAAATTGTCATCAAGTTTGCTTTGTTGTGTGTACATTGGATGAGGCTAATTCAGTCAAAGAGAGTGAACTCAATCTTTTCAATGTTTCAAATTATATGTAATTTTTTCCAGATAGTTAAAAAATTTTTACTGCTGATGTACGGTTATTTTCTCTTTTCCAACGTAAATTAGAGCAAATTGTGTCTATTTAGTCTTTATGAGGATTCCAGTAAATGTGGACTGTTTGTAACTTCCAACACCAATCCAGCCACCATAGACATGCTCAATAGAACCATAAATTTGTATCCAGACGTGATCATCTTTGTTAACACTTATAATCACCATCGCTGAACTGGAGTCTGATCCTCCTGGGAAAGGTACATAACTTGAAGCGCGAGCTGTACCTCCAACAATCAGTTGGGTATGAAAATCGCTGCCTCCCGTCACTATGGTCCAATGGAACATGTATATACCTGTGGTTGGAGCAATAAAGATTCCGTCCTCTGTGTGGTAATGGCCTCCGATGTTGATGTACGTCTTTTCAAATCTTATAATAGCCTGTGAACTTATATCGTTTGTAGTTGAGTATTTATATGCAGAGAAAAGGACGGGGTCGGATTGTTTGATTAGAATACCTGTTTAAAAAAAATTCTAATGCTTTGAAACGCTTTTATGCAAGTGACATACACAAAATATTTCAGTGTACATTTTCCAATCTTTTGTTAAAATACACATGTAAAACACATTTGGTTTAAGACTGTAATTGACATTCTAATTTTTTTTAATGTCTTTTACTATCTTTTATAAGATATTAAAATTTGAAATAATGAATTTCAATCGTATGACTGTGTTAAACAGACGCAATATAGTACCATCCACAAAACCAATCTCACCAGATCTGATAGCAAGAACATCAATTGATGACAGTTCAGTATCACTTCTCCCTGTCAGTAGCTGTCCTAACACTTTCTCTGTGGTGTTTAGTCGACGTTCTGTCGTCTGTTCCAGTTTAGTCAGACGTTCTTCCAGACTGGTCAAATTCCAGTCTTTCGGGAGGGTGGTCACTTCATCCGTTGAGGCAATTGCAAAGAGAAGTGGCAAATAATAAAGGAACATCTTTTAAATCAATTTCTGAAGCACTTCTACGCTGGTCCTGTTCGATTGGCACGCCTCTATCCCTTGGTATCTGTTTATTAATTCAGCAATGAAATAATTTTAAATTACAATTTACCATACATAGGACAATGCAATGCGTCTCTGTTAACCCATTTATCCAAAATTACAACATATCTGTTTAATGTCATTTAATGTTATACAGACACATAACAATGACTTCTGACACTAGTGTGTCCATCATTCAGTGCCTATTTTAAAAACACTGTGGGACATGAACTCGGTATAACCAGAACCATTTCATATATATTTCGTAATGATTAGTGAAATTTTATCTTTTTGGAGATACTTTTTACTGAAAGATGCTATGAAAATATGGCTCGCCAAATTCACATATAAGTGAAACAATTATGCATTTGATACACAATATGACTACAGATGTCAGCCTCTAATGTATTTACAAGCATCAGGTAAATTCAATGTTTACAACGTGAGAAAACTGTAAATTCTGTCTTGAAATTGAACATGGATATACTTCTACAAATAGAAAAGACTGGATGTTATTTATATATAAAATATATTACATATGTACGTACTCAAAAGAAAAATACTGTTAATTTTTTTTTTAAAGTACACATTCAACAGATCTATTAAGGTCCCTCTATACACTAGAGGAAAATATTTTTTGGACACTGAAAAAATTATAGTGCGTAAAGGTGTATGTATTGAGCTTATCTATCACATTTTCAACATAGGGTGCCTTGCATTTACCCCCAGTAAAAATGTTCAAAGACAATGAAGTACTGATCAACATATATCACTGTTGTTTACTTAAGTGAGCAAAATACCTGCAAATGAAGTGTTCTGTCTATTCATTTTGGCCTATTAAAGTGTTATGAATGCCTGATTTGATCACAAATTAAGTAATAAACTGTACATTTCAATTTACTGTATTCTTGATCAAAGGGCAGATCACTCTATCTGCATAAAAATACCACAAAATCAGAACTCTCTAGTGTCCAGTGTATAGAGGGCTCTTAAAAAAGGATACGTATTTCACTCCGGTCTCTGGCACTCCCTTCTTCAGCTCCTCAAACGTTGTTGTTGTTGTTGTTGGGTTTTTTTTTTTTTTTTTTTGATTTTTTTTAATATTTTGGATTTCCAACATAACTGAAGAGACATAATTTGTCGAAATGCGCATCTAGTGCATCAAAATTGGTACCGTATAAGATTTTCATCTTATATATTGAAAGCAAACTTACTAAAAATCATATTTAGCGTATCGGCACGGTAACGTGTTCGGTAGAGCACTCTGGTCGGAAGGTTCTGATCTGCGCTCCGTCCTCGACAAACCTTAGTCGACAAACGATAAAAAAAAAAATAATAAGTAGCAACTGTTCCTTCGCAAGCTGAGGTAAAGAGATAAGACCTTATAAAATCAGAGGCAACATGTAACGGCAGGCCCTTGCATGCTAAAGAACCTTCATTGCTCAATGCACCTGAGTGCCATACAAGGTTGTTCAAATAAGTTTTGTGTTTAATTTCAAAGTTTAGATATCTTTCTTGATATCTATATATCTTAATATTTAAATACAAATCATATTTCGTTTTAAACAGCAAATTCTACATTCGCATTCATTGTGAAAAAAGTTGGGAAATCACGGCATTACAATGGTTACTAGTAGTTGTGACAAAAATGCCGATGTCACAATTTGAAAATAGTTCAAAATACATGAAACCAATTAATAAGGTTTAATTGTGATGCTCTATTATCAATCTAAATCACCTAAAATGAGGAATTTTGATAATCTAAAGAAAAGAAGCCTTCTACCATGCTTGTCAGAAGCTTTTTGAGGCTAGTTTCAAAATTGAAAAGACATTGACAACATACGATGAGTGACCGTGAAGACCAAGGAATTCAAGAACCAAAGATTTCATTAGTGAAATATAGATACTTGTTTTGCAAACACCCCAGAAATGTGTCAAAAAATATGTTTTCAGAAATTGATGCTGACAGTACCAATATATCCAATGTATATGTATAAAGACCTTTGCAGCATTATATATATAGGATCTCCCATGATTTGTAGTTGGATATTATTTTTATCCAACGAGTTGTGTGTTTTTTATCCCCGAGCCTTGGCGAGGGGATAAAAACACACAACGAGTTGGATAAAAGTCATATCGAACTACAAATCATGGGAGATTCTTTTTATCCCATGTTTAATACTTCACAACCAATGTTTTACACTGTTTTATATAGGACTCCACTTTATTTTACTTCATCGCGCTAACGCAAAATACCATTGTGACGTCACAACTGCACTTAACTGTGGATTATGGAAAATTTATCCAATGAGTCATATCCACGGGATAAAGGGGTAAACATGGGATAAATAAAGTCATTCAATAATGTACCGCCTTGAGAAAAGATTGCGTTTGTGTGGGGTTGGGGGGATGCTTATGGATAGGGTCTACAATCTTCAAACATGTGGATACTGAATAAACGCGGAGAGAATATGAAACCTCAAATGAGGAGTGTTTCAGAGGTAATTTGAAAAAAAAAAATCATGAAGCACTCTTGTTATTGAAGTGATTATTAATTGGCTTTTGACGTTGTGAAATTAAACAGTTTAGAAAATTCACTATTTTTCATAAATTAGCTGAGATTTCTTCAAAGGTTTAATATTTTGGTGGTCAATATACGAAATTGAAACTAATGTAAACATACATTAAATTGATGAAAACACTTAACCTCAGTATCCAGTCTAGTGTTTATCAAATTATAGATTCAAAACGTGATGTTTATTATGAAACATCCTGTATGAGTGGGAAAAAATTGCAAGGGTCTTAACAAGAAATAAGCATATCTAATGAAATATTAAATGATTATTGCAAAGCAAACCGTAGGCATAACTGACAGTCCAATCGATTTTAGGTTGCACAACAGGTGACGTTTTCGAAGATCTTATAAAAGCAAATGAGTTTTCATTTTCATATGGCCTGTAATTCTGCATATATTTAAAGATAATAATACTAGTATATATAGGATCTTCCATGCTTTGTGGTTGGATATGATTTTTATCCAACGAGTTGTATGTATCCCCGATCGAGCCTTTTTCTTTAAACTTGGATGACTATGGAATCCGGATAGGATCATGTAACATGTAGTTCACTATCGCACCATCGATGTTTGGGTCGATAGTGCGATGACGCGATAATGTAATGACGATGAAGCGATGGTGCGATGACTATGATGCGATGGCGCAACAATGTGATGCCACGATGAAGCGATAGCGCGATGATGTGACGGTGCTATAGCGATGACACGATGGTGCGATAACGATGGTACGATGACGATGAATTGAAGCGATGTTCACAATCGCTCCATCGTGCTATAGCACTATTGTCATTGCATTGTCGCGCCATCGCTTCATCGTCGTCGCATTATTGCGCCATCTGTTTGTGAGTGGTTTATAAATGCTCTCTCTCTCTCTCTCTCTCTCTCTCTCTCGTGTTCAAACATATTATGTATATTGACAGTATGAAGTATTGTTGCTACAATATTTGGTAAAATCCAAGGTTACGAGATCCATAATCCCATTATCGAAAAGGTTTCATGAAAAACAATATGCATGATTTATATCAATTTCCTTTCTTTATCGCTTTAAACGCTATGGATTTGTCAGAGGACTGACAAGAATATAAAAGGATCTCTAAGTCTAAGCATTTTTTTTTCTAAACAGGAAACTTGAAAACATATTCGTTGAACAAAAATGATACTTTTTATTAATTTGCCAACTTGTCTTCTGTCTCTACAAAAATATCTTTTTCCAATTCTTTAAAGCTCCTCAGGAATATTTTCACAATTCCAGACCATAAAGAAGATGATCAAATTTTTAAAAAAAACGTGACACTTTATTGCCTAGACTTTCCCAAAATGGATGAATATACTGTATGTCTTAATTACCGTTTCTTTAGTCTCATGACAAACTCGTACTTTAAATTGAAATTTGATATCCTAAATATGAAAAATAAACTTTCTCAATGCAGATGAAGGGGATTTAAGTATTAATGAAGACTTCTCAAAAGAACATTTTCAGATAAGAGTATTATTCGTTATTTTTTAACTATCTCAACGCTGTAAATATAGGCAATCGATTCGGCATCCTGAAAGATTTTTTATTTATATTGTGTGTTTCTTAATTTTAGTTATCATTCTCCATCTTGCACAGCAGTACACGTTCCAGAATCTCACAAGTTAATGTTTTCCTGAGAAGGATCACACCACTTTATGTTTTTCGTAAAAGGATTCCAGTGAATGTCGATTGAATGCTCCCCTCACTATTTCTACCACCATAGACATATTCACTAGAACCGTAAATCTGTATCCAGATATGGTCTTCTTTGTTCACATTGATGATCACCATCGCAGAGCCGGAGTCTGCTCCTCCTGGGTAAGGCACATAACTCGAAGCGCGAGCTGAACCTCCGACCATCAGCTGGGTAGTAAAATCAGAGCTTCCTGAGACTATGGTCCAATGAAACATATAGACACCTGTCATGGGAGCAATAAAGATTCCGTCTTCTGTGTGGTAATGGTTCCCAATATTGATGTAGGTCTGGTCAAATCTTACGGTTACCCGGGTACTGATACCGCTTGTATATGAAGATTTGTATGCTGAAAATATGACAGGATCTGATTGTTCGACCAAGGTACCTATTAAAGAAATTCAAAATTCCCATGCGTAAATCGAGTGTTTCCAAATATGTTCCAGCTTGGATTTTCCAGGTTTAACAAATGTTATTTTATTGTTACAGTTGGCTTATAAAAAGAAATTTGATAATCATTTCAAATTTGATATTCTTTCAGTTTAGTTGTCTTTATTAGGATTGCTTCTGGATTTTTTTTTCAGAATTTGCAAAAAAGAAACACACTATAAGGCAGATTTAAAATGATTCATCAGACTATAGTTAATGGTTATATATAACTTTATTTAACAGTCTCAATTAATAACCTTTCATATAATTTCTTACCAGATCTAAGGGCAAGAACATCCAAAGAGGACACATCGACATCAGTTTTTCCAGTCAGTAGCTGTCCCAGCACTCGCTCTGTGGCGTTCAGTCGTTGTTCTGTCTTTGACAGACGTTCTTCCAGACTGGTCAAATTCCGGCCTTTCAGGAGAGTGGTCAGTTCAGCCGTTGATACTATAGCAAAGAGAAGAGGCAGATGATATAGGAGCATCTTTGGGAGTTAATTGCAGAAAGTACCTTTTATGTTTAGTCCTGTTCGATTGATTCTACTCTGTAATTCGGTGCTAGAATATTAAACTTTTAAACAGAACTACACTTTTATAGATATTCACATATTTTAGCTTACCTTTCCACTCAACATCGTAGACCGCTGCTTCGTACTTGTATCACAATGGTAAATTTGACCGATTCAATCAGATTAAAATATTATGTAATTCTATATTTACACTGTATTGTGCTTTGGCCATGCAATATATATTCTTTGATTTCTTTCAGTACTCAGTGACATATTAATTCTAGTATCTTTGGGTTGAACACCAATAATTCATCAATAATTCTCCACAAAAATAACACTTTTAATGTAGAATGGTTATATTTTAAACTAGTTGTCTTTAATCGTTTGTTTGTTTGCTTGTTTGTTTGTTCAACGTCCCTTCGAGATGCCATTACTTGCTGGTGGAGGGCTGCAAATTTAGATCTCTATACTCGGCAAATCTGGCCTTTGAGCAGTGATGGATCTTTTTCGTGCCAGCACCCACTGCGACACACAGGACCTCGGTTTATAGGTCTCATCCGAAGGACCGGTATCCACGTCCTGCAGTGGGATTCGAACCCGCGACGTAAGGAACAGCTCCTTACTCCGGGACTCTAGAGGAAACGCTCTGCCACTGTGCCACGCTGGCTGTATTTAATCGCAATTTCAGAGAATTAAAGCATAGTTTGTCAATATTAACTTTTCTGTTCTTACAATAACAGTAATGATTCCGATCATACAGGTTACTGAATTAGGCCACCATCTTATTAACTCGAAGTTATGCAAGTGTCGTTTACTAAATACAGAATTTCGTAAGTACATATCAATTATAATTATCGTGTACTTATACCGGTAATTCATTATTTAGTAAATAACAGAAGTATAAGGCGAGATTAAAAGACTTTCAAAGTACCAACTTTCCTTTTCTCCTTAGCTTAATAAGGCTTTTCGGCTAATTAAAAATCTCCTTCAAAATCCTTGGAATTTTTTGAAAATATATTGCTCACTTCAAATTCTGGAGGGAAACTTCCTTAGTAAGAGGTTCGCATCATTTCTAGACCTCCAATGTGGGTCAAATAATAGAACATCATTCCAGTTTTTGGTAGTAATTATCTAAAAAATAAAAGTAAATATATTAATTTACCTTTTGGTGCATTTTTAATTATTTTAGTCACTGTTAATTAAAAATAATTCTTTTAATATTAGAACAACAGTACAGTAGAGAACGAATTTCTATATACAAATGAGACAGAGAAGCGCTGAGCATGAATTTAGTGATGCAGAAAAAGACAAAAAGCTTGATTCAGTAATTTAATCTCCTTTTTTAATCAGGCTCTGGGGCCATAAAACTTAAATGAGCTCACTTTTGAGGTCGGTCTCATTTTTCCACTATAAATTCCCTTTGTAAAAGCGAGGCTGAGATCAAACCTGAGCTTGTCTAAGTTTTTATAGTTTTATGGCCCCGGAGCCATGCAGTTCTAAGTTATTTCCTCAAAAACCAGTGAATATAACATTAAAATGCAACTTTTAATTAACTCAGTTCCATATTTGGTGTACAAGTATGTAATATTTCTACATTTGTTAAAAGATCCATGTACGAAGATTCGAAAAATGGAAGTATTTTCTTTTAACATACGTGTAGTCCCTTACATATACATGTTCTGCATTTGAAAATAAATTACAGCTAGGATCAATATGTACCTCCAGCTGAACATGTAACACCATTACATGTTTTCTTTGCAAGGCTCGTTATTACAGAATTTTGCATTTTAGAGGAAATTGGATGTACATGTGATCCTACCAGTGGTTATCCAACTTTTACTCATGGATCAATTTTTAGGGAAGAAATTCTTTAAAATCATAGAAATATGTGGGTTTTTAAAGTTTTCAATAATCCGAACACAAGATTGGATTTAATGAAATACCCACACTGGTTTCCAAAAAGTCATAAAAGTTCTTACAAATAAAGATATACTAGCAGGATACTAGCAAAGATATACTATAGTAGGATCTAGTCAATGTTCTACCAAGTCTCTTTCTTGAAAAGAAATCGTATAACTGTTCGGAATCCATAAGATTGAGCTTTAGGTATAAATAGTACTGAGTTTTCTGGACAAATTCATTTAATTTATTGAATTATGTTTTGTAGAAAAGTATGTGTTTTTTAAAAATATTTTTCTTTTTAAATTTTATTTTATTTTTAACACCTGAAAACTGACACGATTATTCCTCTTAATAATGTGTATCTTCAAATCGATTTTTTAAAGTAATTACTTTAAATAATAAATGTATTTCTTATTCAGAGGTGTGGGATAATGCGTACATATTCTGTATTCCAAATGGCAGCTGGTGATGTAGTATTTCTTTTTAGTATTATCTACGCAGGATTGTGAGTATTGCACAAAGTATCTGATAATTTATAATCGAGGCACAGAACCAGTGTGTTTGTGGAAGGTAAAAGGAGTACCGTCAATGAACTCGTTACAATTCGTATCCTTGAATAAAAATAATATGTGAAGTAATATGTCTTCAGAGTCCACTTCAGTAGAAATAAACAGCCAAAATTCAGTTTTGGAAAGATATTAATCTTACATGTAAGAAAGTTGATATTTGCAATTGTCTCCAAATCTCATCCTTGTTACATCCAAGCTACATCACAGCTACTGCTGGGAAAATTTAATGAACTGAAGTTGTTATCTATCCCAATTTCTTTTCACACTGAGTAATTATATTAAACATGATGGTGTCAACAATTAAGTTAAATAGGTTTTCAAAATGTGGAAAAATTGGAATCTTGATTTAGCTATTCCAAATAGCTTGATTTAGATATTTAAGGTCTTCCGTTTCCAACGGAAGACCTTCTACTGATTGTGACGATTAAGATTATTAAGGTCTTCCGTTTCCAACGGAAGACCTTCTACTGATTGTGATGATTAAGATTATTCTTTTTTTTTTTTTTTCCTAGACGCCAACTTTGACGCTTCATATCTTCCTCATTCCTAAACAGATTTTGTTCAAATTTTCAGAGCTTTTAGACTTTACAAAACACTGTCAGAATACCGTAATACAATTCGGAAATTACCTTCTGTTCACGAGTTATTCCCCTTTGATTGAATTTTGCATGCCTCCGATTTCCAGACAAAGGCTCAGAAATGGTTATAATTGGAGCACAAAACTCTTTGAAATTGAAAAGAGGAAGCATTGAAGTTGTGCACATCGGTTTTTGTTTTTTGATTTTTGCATTAAAAATGGCGCTAGAGAGGGGTCAAAAGTTAGAACGCGGAAAACAGCAAAAAATTTGACATATTTTCCTTTATATCTTGAAAACTAGAAATATTTTGTTAATACATGTTGAACAAAAGTTGTGCATAATTGCAAGGGCTTTCATATTATACTATTTAAAAGGGGCTGGCCCCTATGATTAGGGATCTTGGGCCCTTAAAAGTTTTTGCTGTATAACTCAAAAACGGTAAATATTTCGATCTGGATCTTGGGAACAAAATTGTTCTTTTACACCTTTTTGATCTAATGAAAATGTTGTTTTGTTCGAGTATACCATGGGTATTGCGTAATACGTATTAGAAAGCAGGCCAGGTAAACACGTAACGTTTTTCATTCGGCAAGGAAATCAGATCTCTTCATTTGTATAACTTAAACAGACTTGCTATCAATAATATACCCTGCGGTATTTAATGTTAATTTTCTTCTAAATAAGGTTTTAAACGTGTTCTGTGGTTCTCTCATAAATTATTTTTTACAACTTTCTTTTCTTTTTTAATTTAGTTTTAAAGGGAACAACGTCTTCAAATAAAGGAAGGAATTAAATGTATCTATATAACTATGTAAGTAATATTAAACTTTAAGCATCGAATAATTAATGATCATTAACTGTACGCATTTTACGTTCTCCATGTTCACCTAGATGTTTTTAATTATGTAACACAACCCGCGATCCCACGTTGCCGAGGTCACCATCGACCAGCCACCTGCGGTCATAAACCATGTAAACAAAACAAATATCTGTGAAGACTGTGATCACGTTTTAAATCCATCGTGTAGAAACAACGACTAATGAAACATTGTGTTTTTTTTTAATTTATATTGAATCTTTAAGATAACTTAATCTCATCTTTGATTTAATCTTAATTTCAAACACTAGTGCATAAAATCATTTCGAATTTTAATCGTTTTTTACCGGCCTGTTCACTGTCGACACAGCAATGCGATTTAAAAAAAAAACAATTTATTTCTCTGTCCCGTGTAATTGTATTCTATTTCAATTGTAATTGAAAAGGTGCTAAGGCAAATAATTGCAATTAGTGATGGAAGTATTAAGTATTAATACTTGTGTAAAGTATAATTTTTACTATCAGTCTCTTAATTGTTTCTTCATTTAATTTTTCATTAAATATTAAACTATATACATCAAATAATACTTTTAAACATACAATAATTCACGCCTTCTTACAGCACAGTTTACATTCTGCTCTGTCGCTTTGTAACCCAGTCTTCGTGCACACGTGGCCGCAGAGAGCCGGGGTCATATCGGTGTTAAAATACATTGTGTACTCATAGCGATTAATGGAAAATTGGTTTTGAAATCATTTCGAATCTTACATATTATTTTATTTTACTCTATCTCACGCTTATTTTTATCAATCCTTACCGCCCGTGCATTTATTCATTTCAAGTTTTACGCATTTTAATTGCCGACTTAACCATTAAGTTTGCAACAATTTATTTTTCTGTCTCGTGTTTTAAACTGCATGTACACATGCATGATAATTGTAAGTGGAGGTGACTTTTTCAATTCTCGGCATCCTCACAATGTCAAGGTATTGTGATTTCGGAACCTTAATTGACATTGGGAGGACGAATTCTCGGGAAAATCGAAAAGTTTTACGGATACATACATGCATGCAAGTACAGAACATGCTCTTTTTATATGCACGATCATGAATTCGAATGTACAAGTGTACATGTATATGCAAGAGCGCCCCAAATGTACGCATATCGAGTGT